CGTACGGTCTTCACCAATACTAGTAAGCAAAACCTATATATACCATATAGTGAGCTATAAAAAGTCATCATCTGTTTCCAAAGTAGACACAATAAGAATCTACTAACTTTTATTTTTCAGTGTGGTTTGTTAGTATATCTGTTTTTTTTTGTATAGCTCATATTGTTTTTGCATCTGTTCTCGTCTCGGTCTTATTCTATTTCTTATTGAAGACTCTTCTAAGACGTTATTATCTCATTTACAGAACAAAATAGTTACAATTTTAATATTACTGTTAAAACATGCAATTCCATTAAACACATGTAAGTCTATTATAAATATTTTAAGAATTACAAAAACAACCGTTATATTTCTGGGTCTACCAAATGCTCCACGAATTTTCTTTCCAAATTATCAACGTTTATTTTTATATCAATATTCAAAAGCAGGCTTCAGATTTACGATGGAACTACATACTCAAGGTGATGGATACTTAAAAAATCAAAAGATCCGTTAGAGTACTTACAAATCCCTCCTCTCGTGCGATAGCATAAAAAAACATTTGACTTTTCTACTCTTAAACACAACTTTTTCTCCTTCTGATCTCCAAGACAGATCGAAAGAATTGGACAATTCATACATAATAAAAAACGTTTTAAATCAAACAAAAAGTTCACTGAAATTGACCCCATCAAGATGCAGGATTTTTTAAAAACATATTTGGAAGGTCTTTTTAGACAGATAAAACAAAAGAGATGCTTTCAATTTTCTCATTATGCATTTACCATTTCTGTGTCGCTTCGTTCCCGCGTCACCTACCTATGCAGTGTATATCTCCTAGTTGATACGATATTTCAGGGCTTGCTATCATATTTCCTTGATAGGAGGATATTGCATCAAGGGTTCCAAATGGTAAAGTTGAAGTCATCCTTTCGGATTTTTAACGGACTCGATCGGGATTTGGTTGACCGTTTTGGAATATCTGTGTTACAGATGACCAAAATCGTCCTCTGTTCCTCCATTGGAATATTATCGAATGCGACTTATCACCGTATTATTTCCTGCAGTAAATAAGACGATGGTTGTCACTAGCGCAGCAGGAACTGATTAGCCTTCAAGAGCACATGAGTTCACCAACTTTATCCTCGAAGTGGTTCATGTTTTTTCAATCTTTTGTTTTTTGTTACCGTCATTTGTCATTTTGGCCATGTTTTTGTCTGTTTTTATTGGACTTATAATATTTGATTGATCCTTTGGTATCTTATCTCTTTTTTGTAACAAATTCCATAAACTAGTTTCATTATAAGTATTAATGAAATGTCATTCTTTAGAACGAAACCATTATCAATATATACACTATAATTACAGGGGGAAATACATATTAAATGATAGTTTGATAAAAGTATTATAACAAATATACCGAACTCCAAGGAAAATTCAAAACGGAAAGTCCCTTATAAAATGGCAAAGTCAAAAGCTCAAACACATCAAACTAATGAAAAACAACTGTCATATTCCTGATTTGGTACAGGCATTTCCTTATGTAGAAAATGGTGGATTAAACCTGGTTTTATAGCTAGCTAAACCTCTCACTTGTATGACAGTCGCATAGAATTCTATTATATTGACAACAATGTTTCAGCAAAACAAACAGACAGAAAATGTCAAAATGTCAAAAATTGGGGTACAGCAGTCAACATTGAGTTATAATCTTAATCACTATATATGTAAAAACAAATAACTATGTCAACAAAGAAAAACAAGATGGCATATAGACACTCTATAGACGAAGTACATAAGCAAAAATGAAATACAAGAATACAAAAAATGAGCATAGTACAATAACACAACGGCGGGATGTATAAATACCGAGCCACGCCAAAAGGATATTACCAAAAATGGGCTAAACAGTAAGGCTTAAAATTATACAAAGACAAATAAAAAGAACACTATAACATTATAGCATAACAATGTAACCCCGGGTCGATAGAAGTGTTAAGAAATTGTAATCCTAAAAGAAAGTGGCGATTTTAAGCGTTCAGGCATTAAATTTCAAGCACAAAAGATCAGTTAAGTTGTGAAATCATTGTAATAAAGAAAACAATATGATCCTTAAAAGTGTAAAGAAATATCAATTCTGGGAACAAGATATTTTAAAGTCCCTAGGCATTGTAGTTCTTTCAGAGCACAACATCATTAAAAGTGCTAAAGCAGTGTACTTCCAGGATACAATATCATTACGATTATTTACTTGATATGACTCCAGCGAAGGAGATTATTGTACATAAGATAATTTAAAGTATTAAGATTATCAGAGATAAGAAGACAATTTTTTTAATTAACAAAAATACCTAATCTAAAGATTTGACTGAAAAGGAAAACGTTTTAAGATATGTACAATTCCTAAAAAAACATTTCCACAACTGTATGTGTATCACATTAGTTGTATGTAAACAGGCTCTGTTACTGGGTATAAATTAAGTGACAGTAGTTTACTGGGTATAAATTAAGTGACAGTAGTTTACTGGGTATACATTAAGTAACAATAGTTTACTGGGTATACATTAAGTGACAGTAGTTTACTGGGTATACATTAAGTGAAAGTAGTTTACTGGGAATAAATTAAGTGACAGTAGTTTACATGGTATAAATGAAGTGACAGTAGATTACTGGGTATAAATGAAGTGACAGTAGTTTACATGGTATAAATGAAGTGACAGTAGTTTACTGGGTATAAATGAAGTGACAGTAGTTTACTGGGTATAAATGAAGTGACAGTAGTTTACTGGGAATAAATGAAGTGACAGTAGTTTACTGGGTATAAATGAAGTGACAGTAGTTTACTGGGTATAAATGAAGTGACAGTAGTTAACTGGGAATAAATGAAGTGACAGTAGTTTACTGGGTATACATTAAGTGACAGTAGTTTACTGGGAATACAAGTGACAGTAGTTTACTGGGTATACATTAAGTGACATTATTTCATCGAAAAGACAAATCAAGGTAACAATCAACAACTGAGGGAATCACACAAACTCCAAAAGGAGGGATACAAGGTGTGTCGACAGAGTAAGTGTGACCTGCTTTGCATGCTGACCACCCACCAAGTAAATTCACAAACCGAAGGGGGCTAGATATGCATCGTCTGTCGCAATTGTTCCTTGGAGAGATCCAATAGAATGGGAGAAATTTCGTAAAATATTCATAAATAATTGCAGATTGTTTATTGATTTTCCGATTCCTTTGGTTGAATTTGTATTTTTTTTATTATAAGTTCTCATATCTAAGAAGTGTTTTTAGCCATGTGAACAAGATATTTGTAGGAACTGGGTACGTTGTAACGTATTTGTTTGTAGGAGGAAATAGTAAAACTCAAACAAACTAAAGATAAAAGCAATGACAAATTAAATTCATGATTACCTTTCCATAATAAAAATTGATAAAAATAAGTTTTAAAAAAATCTGGTACTAGTATTAGGAATTAAAAGTTTAGAATAACATTTACATTTCCTAAAGCTTAGGTTGCAGATAAAATTGTTATATACAGACCCTTTTGGTTTGTTTGCTCTTAGTTGTTTCAAATGTTTTGCTTTCCAAACTTTTTGTCACCAGCGTAAACAACTTGCAATTTTTCTTCTACCTATTATTGTTTTGCCCATTTCTTCTTCGTCTTCTGGATATCCCACACCTGATCTTGCCCGCAGCAGTTCTCACAAACCTTAATTGAAGTCGTTTCAAAACTTTAGGACATAACATGTTATTTAGAGGTTGAAGTTAAAGGTTTAAATTTTCAGATCGGGAGTTTTAAGATTAATTTGGGAGATCAAACTGGGTGGGATCTTCTATAGAAATATGCAGGATTTTTATTGTCATGTTTAAATGGTCAAAATTCAATGAAAGATATAATGGGTGAGTTCCCTGGGGTCATCCATACCCACTGCCATTTGAACATTTTCAACCCTAAACAATGTATTTTCTTGGTCATGTCAAAATGAATTGATTGGTATATAGGTTAAGTCCATAGGCGTCATCCCCACCCCGCCATTTATAAATTTCAAACTATCTTGTAAATGATTGAGATATACACCCTAAGCCATACATTTGCATTTCAAGACGAATTGAATGATTTTCAGTGTGATTTAGAAGGGGTCATCCGCGTTTCTTACAATTTGAGAATGTTCAAAAAGCTAGAAAAAGGTCTCCATTCCTAAAAAACATAATACTTGACTGTTTTAGATAACAGAACACAAAAGAGCAATGCTTAAGATTTCTAACGTTTATATGATATATACTTTGATCGCTATTGTATATCGAGCGACTGATATTTGTTATAATTACTGATTTTTATGCAACGTCCATCACCCCGTACTTTCGAGTTTGTTGTCGTCAAGCTAACCCCTCGTTTTAATCAGACCCTCTTCGCGTTTAGGCTCCTATTCATCAATACCTCGAATGAAATAAAAAAAAAATCTAAAGAAATATCAGAAATGAAGAAACATGTCTTTCTGGAGAGGGACTTGTGAAAATATCTAAAAAAATCTATCACCGTAATAGCGCCTTCTTCTTTATGAGACCCTCTTCAAACTTGAATGAAGGTGTCCCCTCATCGAAAATTCGAACGAGTTTCTATACTCTGAAAAATCTGAAATGAGGGAGGGTACTTGTAAATTTATTTCATATTACTTCCTTTCCATTCTTTATTGGATCTTCTTCAAATTTGTATGAATGTTTCCACTCATTTATACCTAAAATTATCAAAATTAGAAATAGGGGACCGTTTTCAAAAGAGGGACTTGTCATTATGTACGGGATTCATTTATTAGATTCTAATCAAATTCAAATGAAGGTTTCCACTTCTCATCACTCTTGATAAGGGGGTCAAGGCAATTGAGTTTGCTCACTATAGTCTATTTCATGTCCAACAAAAGTGATCACTAATAGCGAACAATATAAATAAAGGTAGTAAAGTGATACTCTCCTATCAACGCTTATTACAATAATAACTTCCACTACCTATTTGCTTTGAGGTCCATTCTTCCGCTTACACTTCTATTGTTTTAATTTAAAGCATGACTGTTTATATGGCAAAAAGCATAGTATGTTTTCAGTTTTAGCTAGAAGCTACTAATAGGCAGACGTAGAAAAGCTAAACCACAATGGCGGATATTGATCTCAACAGGAGGGACCCTAATGACTTGAATAGCCATATCAAGGTATACAACTTTATGTCGAAATGAATTACTGCGTACAAATGTGAATTTTATTCCTTAAATGTTCTTATTCTTACATGTTTTTACAATGATTTTTAAAGTTATCTCGACAAAAGACAACTTTAGAACTAGAATTGTTAACATTAAATATGATATCGGTTAAACCATTTTACATTATGTGTGTGTGGACTCACAGTGTAAATATCGACGAGGTAACTAAATCTTGTTGAAATTGAGTATAAAAATACTCAGAAATTTTTTACATTTTTATTACAAATACCCATATCGAAAAATATTATTTAGCCCTGCATGATGCTTTTGAAGACTATTTGTACTTACAATTGGAATTTTAATGGTTTTGCTAAATTGTACACTGAAAGACATCTTAGGCCAAAATTAAACAATTTACTTTCGATCGTTTTGATTTAAGTTTCGAATGTCTGTCCTGGTTTTTGTTTTATAAATTCTTTACAGTCGTCAAAACCTACTAAAATTGCAGTTTTAACCAAACTGAAAATATTTATAATTTGAGTAAATGACCGAGTCTTAATGTTGATATCAAATTTTACATATTAGTTAAAAGAAATAATTGAAAGACTCATCAGTAAGAATGCACTTTTATGTGAATAACATAACATTTCTATGCGATAAAAGATATACTTATGAATTGTCGAATATGTTGGGTTATTTATAATAAATATTAATAACATGTTATTTTTAGTTCAATAATAGTCAAAGTTTAAGTTCTCTATAAAGTCGAAGTTTCGTCAATGAAGACAAAAAGATCTTGGTATAAAACTTTCTGTTAGATTTACAAGTTTGGAACATTGACATTCCCAAAATATAGTATATCCTTACCCGTGGTCGTCTGCAATTTTCTTTAATCTCTACGTTTTATACATATTTTAATTTGATTCTTTATATGCACCTTTTTCAAGCATATACTTTATATTTTAAGGTTGATTTTGAGGACGTATTAGGAGAACCGGATGGTGCCCATAGTTTTGACAAAGTATGGATATTTTCATACAAATGTTACCGATGTGGACTCGGCTGCTGTTACAAGTTACTCACCTTACTATGTGGATTGTGTATTGCTCTATACTGGGGATGTACCTTTGCATGCTTAACCTTTGAGCATGTATGGTGCTGGACACCATATATGAGATTCTTTTCAATCTTTGCTGGGGCATGCCAGAAATTTCTTGGAATCCTAATGAACTGTTGCGTTGCGCCCTGCTGTGAGACATGTGGATTGTTCTTCAGCAAAATAACAGTTCATAACAAGTGATAGTTATAATAACGGCCCTTAAATCTTGTATTATAAAGCCGTTACTTCAAAATCTATTTGTTATATAATTTATAAAATGTTTCTAGCGGTTACTTCAAAATGTATTTATTTATATAATTTATAAAATGTTTCTAGTTATTAGAGAGTAGTCCAAAAAATTATTTTTAGGGCATTGAAATTAACATATTTTTATAAAATATTTTAACATTGAATAAAATTAGTAGAAACAATGTTTAATAACTAATGATGTTCCTAGCGTAACATACACTACAGTCTGCATAATATAGCTATGGCCTGACATGTATGTTTTAAACAATCAGTGGCTTTCTTGTGACTGATATATCTCAGATTTGTTTCTAGTCCTACTTTTGTTAATGTTTGCTTTGGTTTTCTTGGTTGAGTTTGATATTGAAGCGTTCGTAGGTGCACTGATAATACCATTAACGGTACCAATATTACTGCACCATATGCACATTGTGACAATTAAAAGTTTCTTCAGTAATGCCCGTATCCAAGACCTATTTACCAACGTCGAAGAGCTGACAAAACCAAAAAAAAAACAAAAAGTAAAGCTAACCTGACAAGGAAATAGAGCTATGCATGAATGATATACATTTTTTAATCCAAAACATTTCGAGTTTTATAACAGCAAATTTGAATAGAACAATATCCGTATTGTTATGCCCTTACCGTAGTTATGGCTACTGGGCTGATGATAATCTCGAAGACTAATAGTTTACAAGCAGAGGTATCGACCAAGTCAATTGCATTGCACCAGATGCACATTTCGGCAATTAATGTCCCTTCGGTGATGCTCGAGGCCAAAATAATAGAAAGTCCAAAATCTTATACATCAGTTGATAAACTGATCAAACAAAAAAAGACCAAAAGTTAAGACAAACCCTGAAGAGGAATCACAGCTATGCATGAGGGAGCCACATTCCTTAATTTAACAGATTTCGAATTGTGAATGCAAAATGTCTGCCCCTAACCAAATATCATTATATTCCTGTGGCACATTAACCAAGTAACAATAATAAATCGATCAAAATTGTTGTAAGTTGTCATGGTATACATTCGTCGCATCTGAGTATTCGTTGAAAAGAATAAGTAAGTCGATTAAGAAAACTGTTAAAATAATATCAGTTTACTCATTAGGCCTGATAACACAATTATTTTGTAGAGCATTTATTTTGAACAATGAATGCAAATTTAAAAAATCGCACCAGCGCTTTCTCAATAATATTTTATATTGTTGTGTACTACTTTTAGGACAAATAATATCAAAATTATACAAAACTTTATCTGCTCTAACTCACGATATGGACAATTTCAAGCTGAGGGGACCTTGAATTCAGTTTGACAGCTTCAGACATACTAATATTTTATCTTTTTAAACTGCACCAAATCACTACTTTATCTTTAGATTCACGACCAACATTTTTTAACAGTGTAATTTCATCCCCCTACTTGCTATTTGAGGCATGAAACATGCAGAAACAAACTGGGAAGGTGTATGCAAAATATTTGCAAGTAATACACTGTCCACAGTGTAGACTAAATCAAAAGTCGACAATTGTGTCATCGGGCTATCATCTTTTCGTTCATTTAAACCCGGCAGTTACAACAAGTAGATATTGCAAAGAACTCTGTCGATGCTGAGAGGTACACGTTTGCATGTAGAAAATATCCACCACAAACAGCTATATTTAAAAAAAACACCTACATCTACCTCAAATTTTAAGGATCACAACCCTAACTTTGGTAAAACATATTAGTTCATTTAAAGACACATCACAGAATGAAAATAACATCTCATAAATTTGGTGCATCCGAAGAGCCCGGGGGAGTTGAAACTTTAGTTTCGAAATAATTTCTTATCTTATCAACAGACAATTTAAGAAAGATATGTTATTAATCACTGAGTTAATAATACCAGCGGGGACTATCAGTCCACCAGCAGCAGTATCGTCCCAGTGCTTGAAAATGTTAAACATTGGCCTAAACATCTTCGTGCTGTCCGGCGGTAAAGTCTGCAGCCTCATCACAACCGCCTAATTATATAAACACTATCTTATAGACATGGATAATATTGAGTAACCTTGGGGTTGTTTTTTTTTGTGACTTGTGTATAGTATACAATAGAAAGCATCACTCGATACAGAATATATTAACCAATTTTTATCTTTTAGATCCTGAACTTTTCAGTTTTGATTTACTGCCGTTTTTACCACCCTACTAATAACAGAATGCAATAAATCAATTTCAAATTCCAGAAAATATATTCATAGGTTGCATATCGACTGGCCTTGCTTACGTATCTGCACTCCTTTACGTTTATAAAAATCTTCACTCGAACAAACAGAAACACTGACGACAGGCATAAAGCAGGACATCATGCATTTAAAATAAAACATAAAAATAATACACAAAAAACAATGCCTTATGCATTAAGTAAATTAAAAAAAAGGGGGACTACCACGATATATTTCGCATTCGTTTAACTCAGTATATTGATTTATCTATCTATCTATTTTGTACAACGTAAAGCAAAAAAATTTACGATAAAATGCAATTATATTCATCAGATATAGTAAAAAAGGTAAATTTAAATCATTTTGTAAAATCCTAGAATCTTTAGTAACATTCTCAACATCACATGTTCATGTATTAATCCTTTAACATTTTGGCGTATTTCAAAATATCGGACCAAATTTTAAATGCCATAAGATGACACAAAACTACAATTTTACACAAACTACAATTTTCATAGATTTTAAAAGTTTTCGCTTTATCCAAAACAAATGCATAAAAGGGACATTCTTAACAAACATTCATATTCTATTGAAAATAAAGATATGTATTATTTGCCAGATATCGAAAGCAAAGATAATAACTACATGTCATTTACTTTGGAAATTATTTTGCGATTGAATTACTCTGCAATATGGTTTTAAAATTTCCACCAACAGCTATATCAAACACTATATATAGACTTTGATTATAATCAAAACTCCTCGGTGAATTATCGTTCCATCACTTTTTTTTTGTATGGAATCCCGATTCAACTATTAAAAGATTTTTAAGCCAGTGGTCTCTAGCTACTTCTCGGTATGCACATATGCTGTTGGTTAAGGAAATTTAGGAATTTAGGAAACGTTTATCTTACATTTTGGTTGAATTCCCCAGCACCTAAATATTTGAATATTTATTTCAATTCATTATTTTATTGACATTGGTTGCAAAACAATACCGTAATTTTCGAATAGAATAGAAACATATGTGTAATAAATTCTGTAATTTCATTCATCGAAAGTCACACAACAAATTTGCATCAAAACGAATTGAGGAAAATATAGGTTCTGCATTTTACTTTAATTACATTAAAGGTCGATTTGAAAAGGAAAACAAATATATTAGTTTAAATATAATAAAATGTTCAACGATTGAATGTACAGCACATTATTTCATGAATTCGAGTGAATTATTAGATGATTTATTCTTTTCAAAATTAGATATCATTATGTTCCATGGAATGGTATTTTAAAGATTTAATTTGATAATAAAAAGATTCCAAATCAGTTGCTGTGGTAAATCCTACTCTTCTGTGCACACTCAAATATACCTACATAAACTCAACTCTACTTCTTGGACACCAAAATATGCCTCAATGAACCACATGGTATTGAAAAAACAGCATCTAGTAGAAACAGACATGTTTACCTAAAGGTTAATATATTGACAATATATACTGGTTAACTGATTTATATTTTTAAAAAGTGCTTTCAATTAAGTAACCACAGCAAACAATAGAAATAAAGGGGGTAAATTGACACAGTCCAATCAACACTAACTGCAATAAATACTTCCATATGACGTTTTGCTTTTAGGTTCATTCTTCCGCTTAAATTCTATTGTTTTATATGATTTTATGTTATTTGTTGAAACTTTGGCATGACAGTTTACATGGTGAAAGGAAACATTGTATGTTTCTGTTCTTGTTAGAAGATACCGTCGCATGCAGACGTAGAAAGTAAAGGCACAATGGACGATAATATCAATCTCGACAAGAGGGATCCAAATGATTTGAATAGCCATATTAAGGTACATTTGTAGATATAATTCATGTTAGAAAAGTACAATTGTGTTCCTCAAAATGAATGTTATCTTTATTTAAACGGTTAAGCATATCTATGTTAAATTTATCGTCCATGATTTTGATAATGATTGTTCCAAAATTATCCTCTTGTATCTGTTTCCTATCAAAGCAGTTAATGAAATTTTGTGCTTATGCTTGTGAAATTTGTATAGAAAAATACTCCATATATACAAGGATTTATATAGTAAGATCATGTAAATCCCTGGTTACCCATAGATGCATAATGTTTCTGAAGACAGTTTCAAAGCGAATTTTACTGATTTTATAAAATAGTACTCTAAAGTGGTTTTTGTCAGACAAATGCTTTAATATTTCCAAAATCTCTTAAGGTCAAGGAACAATAAATGGGATATTTCACAGATTTTAGTAAAAGTTTGCACACAACTTTGGCTCATTGAAATATAACTGAAAATCAAAAAATAATAATGCATTTATCTCTTTTATCCTTTCATATAAAACTAATTGAATTCTTTCAAAACTGGTAAGCATTTCTATAGAAAGCACATAAAATCGGCAAACAAATTGTTCTTAAATTTGTCTTAAAATCATCAAATCTCCAAAATCAAATCCATAGATTTTTTTTTAAATGATTTGTTGTTGATACATTAATTTCCGTTTAAACTGATCTACATTTTGAAAAAAGTGCTGTCAATTAAGTAACCACAGCAAACAATAGAAATAAAGGGGGTAAATTGATACTGTCCAATCAACACTAAAATTTTCATATGGGTATATATAGCTAAAGTTGTTAAGGCAAGTAGAATTTGTTTTTTCAGAAGTGTAAATCGGAAAAACTAGTTCTTGTTTGTAATTTGGATATTTTTATTTCAAATTTTTGCCTAATTAAAGCAACGTGTTACTTCCAACTACGTTTTACTCAATAAATTTAATATTTTGACTTACAGGTCAACGTTTGTGCTCCCTTATATGAACCCTTTACTTTGACGACGAAAAGATTAAGGTTTTAGATTTAAAATTTTCATTATTCAGTTAGATTAAAATCAAAACATTTAAAAAGCTGGAACAACGGTTTGGTTCTTATACATGCTTGGCTTTCAAATATTCGGCTTTGACCGTTTCTGGTGAAGGTAAATCCAAAAAGCTCTTCGGACGCATGAAACTAATTTCATTTTTTCAGTCCTTCCTAGAAATGAAATAATAAAGTATTAGTCCATGACCTTGGATTTATTAAATTTTCCTTTAGGTTTTACCTTTTATACATTATTGAAGTGCAACTACAAATCTAATATAAATATATATTTATACCACATCATTCAGCTTATATTTTATATTTTAAGGTTGATTTTGAGGACGTATTAGGAGAACCGGATGGTGCCCATAGTTTTGACAAAGTATGGATATTTTCATACAAATGCTACCGATGTGGACTCGGCTGCTGTTACAAGTTACTCACCTTACTATGTGGATTGTGTATTGCTCTATACTGGGGATGTACCTTTGCATGCTTAACCTTTGAGCATGTATGGTGCTGGACACCATATATGAGATGCTTTTCAATCTTTGCTGGAGCATGCCAGAAATTTATTGGAATCCTAATGAACTGTTGCGTTGCGCCAATCTGTGAGACATGTGGATTGTTCTTTAGCCAAATAACAGTTCATAACAAGTAATGATATTTATGACAATGGCCCTGAATTTTGTATCATTAAGCAATTACTTCAAAATGTATTTGTTAGTTTTATGATTGATCAAATGTTCTTTGATTGTTTAAGGCTAGGACAAATACCTGTATTTCGGGCATTGAATTGAAGAAATATGTTACATTGAATAAAATTAGTAAAAAAGTGTTATTATTGATGATGTTATTATCAAACCACAAGCAAGATAAACTAACAAATTTATCATGTAAAAAAAATCAGTATCTTTCTTGCCAGACGTGATTGTCGACTTTCTTTTGATAATGACGGCTTCCGTTAATGAGATGATTTTTTTTAAATTGGTGTAAATGGTCATTGTTTTAGTAGGAGTCGTTGAAATGAGCAGGAGAGAAGCTTTTACTCCAGGGTTATCGTTTTCCATTTCAAGTTTTCACAGGTTATTTAAGAAGATTTGCATGCATTGAAACCCAGCAAATGCACAAAGTAATTATTGCCTTGAACTCGTTTGTTGTTGAGGAGTACTACCACATTTAATTTGTCCAAAAAGCAACTTCAAACATCATGGATTTATCTCTAGTCGTAGGATCTCTGCACCTAAACATGGTAAACATGTTGGTCTAATGACATATCAAACAAATAATAAAATTGAATCGAAAGGTAATTACTCTGATAAGTCACCATTAGACGCGTAGCCGTTTGAAATTTTACTGCAATCCAATTTACATAACAATATAAATAGGGAAAATAACAATAAAATAAGTTATAAAATTTAATAGCCCTACAATTACGTTTAGTTACGACTCTAGTTTAGTTTACAACATATTTGCAATTGAAAATTATTTATATTGGGAAAAATAAAATAAAGTTTGTTACAATTATACTTTAACACTTTTTTTTCCTTTTTACTCGGCAAATGTAAGACGAGTTGAACTTTGCCATCTGACTAACAAGATACATTATATGGGGATTCACTACTTCATTGTTCGTAGCTAAGTTTGCTTATTCGCCATAAAGTTGCTTCGGTCTTCTAAGCATCGTCTTATTATTGTGGTTTGTCTACTACACAAAAGAATATCTTCTTTTTCAATCTGTTCGACCCCACTCATTAACGAAACACAGATTTGACGGTTTTGCGTTCTATGTTACATATATAATATTATCAAGATTTTTTCCCTTTTCAAAATACATGTCAATACTATATATATCTACCTATAAAAATCTCTTTATGCTTTGTATTAATAAGCTGACGTTAAGAGAATAGTTAATAACCACGTTGAAATTGCAACTACCATTTATGAAGAGGTAGAGAATGCATGAGTTTATAGTATAAAAAAAGTTTCCAACCGACAAAGCATGAATTGCACATATATAATATACGCATTTGTTTGGAGTATGGTTGGTATTGATACAATAATGATGCATATAGACTAAAAACGAACGTGTGAAGAAACACCAAGACAAACCATTCGACCTCTCAATGCCAGAGACATCCGGGTAGAAACCAGAAGATACTGTTATTTTGTAGGAAACGATTTGTGCTACTCTGTGAGAGAATCCTCCCCAAACACAAGGACAAGCTTTTAGAGCAGGAAAAGGCAACACCATATCTACCTCTATATGCGCTAGTCCTGCTATAAATTGTTGGAAGTCCATTTTGCCAATTTAATGAGGATTAGTGCTAGACCCCGATTTTGGAATAATCCCTTGCTAATACTATACAACAAAATGTGAATGTTGATGAGAAACCAACAGTCACTTTGCCAAATACGACTGATATCTGTGTGAATGATGATAAATGTCAAGGGAAAAATTTGATTCTTACATGCGAAAACGTCCTTTAACTGAGAGATATTTTGACCACCTCTGATCCTACCAAGAAGAGACTTTTCTTATTCATCATTCATGGTTACACAATAAGATAGAAGATAACAGATTCTAATTTGAAGACCATGTCTTTTCCTGGGTGGAGATAGTTGCAGTTAAACATAAAGAATGTTAGATATATGTGAATTATGATGGTAATTTATTTTCTAGTACAACCGACGGAGTATTTTGCTTCTCTTTTTATTCGTTTTTCAGTTTTAAGTCAGAAACCAATTTACCTAAATGAACATTTATAGAAGGTTGCTGTGATGTCTACTAATTCAATTTCAGAATTAAATTCACAGATTTTGCTTTTTTTCTTAGTATAAAATCGTGCGCCTAAATGTCTTTTCGCTCAAAGGTTGACACTAATTCACAACTGGTCTGTTACTTTGACAGATATATTTACGTTGTAAGACATCGATATTGTACATTGTTATTTTTTTAAACGGATCTAAGTTTCTTGGTTTACATTATTTATAAGTTTATCGAATTTTTGAAGCACTGAAGTACAGGTTTCACTAGAATAGATGTCAGAAGTTTATGCCTAAGATGTTGTCTGTATTTAAGGATAAACCAAGGGTAGATTTTAAAGATAGGGATCCATATGGACTGAATTCTGATATTCTGGTAAGTTATTAAATTATCTGATGTTGAGTATGTTTTTGTCTAGAATATATCTATAAGTCAAATTCATCTATAAAGTGCAGCGCATGTCCTGTTGTTTGAGGAAGACAGATTAACGCATGTACAAAACAAACGTACATATTTGTAAAATATAACTTTTGTGCGATCTTACTTATGAAGTCCCGTCCATAACTTATTTTTGTCCTCTTCAACCTTACTTGTCGGTAGCCAAGTAACTGATGTTTTGTATTAAACCTGTTTCGAAGAGGATTGCAACAAATCTTGATAGATGCAAGTTGAAAGAGAGGCGAAAGATACCAAAGAGACATTTACTCATTAGTCGAAAATAAACTGACAACGCCATGGCAAAAAAAAAAGAAAAAGACAAAAAGACAAAAAAATAGTATACAAAATACAACATAGAAAATTAAGACTGAGCAATCCGAACCCTACCAAAAACTTGGGGTTGCTCCGGAAGGGTAAGCAGATGCTGCTCCACATGTGGCACCCGTCGTGTTGCTCGTGTAAGTATACATCCGGGGTTAATGGTTCTCATCTAATGATATAAAAAAGATATTACAAAAATTAAGTGCCACAAACGCATTTCAAAAAGGAAAGTATTGTATGGATGGTAAACAAAAAAAATATACAACTGATGGTTTTGATATCAGCTACAATTTAGTTTTAAAAAGGCAATCACCAGAATTTTATATTCCCCTGTAAAATAACATCAATCGATTTAAACAGTGTCGCCATTGAACTAAAGAGAATCAGTAAGTGGCTTAAATGCACAATATATTGTGAAATAATAATGTTCAAACTTGGAAATAACACGACATACAGCAACATTTCAGCACTTACACACCCGAACATTGCACGAAAATAATTATTTTCCTATAATGTAGTTTTATTATTTGCTTAATCTTTATACTTGACCTCTCAAATTGTTTTAGATTTTAATGAAATAACTCTTATCTAAATATACAATAAGCTTTGTAAATTTAAAGTGTCCTTTTCATCTGAAGGTTGGCTTCGATGACATTCTTGGAGAGCCAAAAGAAACACACAGCGCAGAATGTACATGGGAAAGTTCCTCTGAATGTTTCCTGTGTTGGAGAGGATTGACATACCGCATCCTGACCATGTTTTGTGGAATGTGCCTCTCTTGTGTGTGGGGAATAAAATTTGCCGTTATTGCTTTCCAGCACATATGGATTTTCACGCCCTTATTACGGTCGTGGACAATATACTTAAATTGTTTTCAAAGATACTGGGGAACTTGTGTAGCTTGTTGTTTATCTCCTATTTGCGAAATATCTTCAGCAATATTTAGTCGCATTTTTGTATACAAGAGATAAGGAGTATTAAAAAAGTATCTTTTACAGACTTGCTGAATAATCAATAATATTTATATCACAAACGATTTATATCAATATCAACCTATGTATTGATCATTAAAAAGTATTTTGACAAAAGAAATTACATCTTGTTTTTAGAGGAATGTAATATATTTAAATATCCTTAATTATTTCAATTATTTACACGTAGATGCGAATATTCCAACAGTCATCATCGTTTGTTAACTGAAGAAACATAATTTATATGTTCTCGCACCTTATATAGTTTCAAGCATATTTGGTTTGAGATATATGGTCCTTTATTTCAACACTGTATGGTCATTGAAGTTCATGATTCGAAAAAAAATAGCGTGATGAGGGATTCTCTCTTTTCGGACATGGGAATAAGAGATAGTGTATTCAACTCTTTCAACAATTTCCAAACCAAATTATCTTTGAAACTTGATGAGATCTTGCGTTTATGATAAAACTGTGTAACTCTAATAACGGACTTGTTTGTGGAGTTTTCCTTACTTGTTTCAGTCAAGGATTTGTATATTAATATACTATACAAATCCCTATTAAAGTCGAACAATTGTTCAACATTTACTAGTCCGTCATTTTTGTCGAGCCTTCGACTTTTGTCGAAAAAGCGAGACATAGCGATCCTACATTCCGTCGGCGTCGTCGTCGTCGTCGTCGTCGGCGGCGGCGGCGGCGTCCACAAATATTCACTCTGTGGTTAAAGTTTTTGAAATTTTAATAACTTTCTTAAACTATCCTGGATTTCTACCAAACTTGGACAGAAGCTTGTTTATGATCATAAGATTATATTCAAAAGTAAATTTTGTAAAAAAAAATTTTCATTTTTTCCGTATTTTACTTATAAATGGACTTAGTTTTTCTGCCAGGAAACATTACATTCACTCTGTGGTTAAAGTTTTTCAAATTTTAACAACTTTCTTAAACTATCCTGGATTTGTACCACACTTGGACAGAAGCTTGTTTATGATCAAAAGCTAGTATCTAGAAGGAAATTTTGATAAAATTTTG